CCAAAGCCCCACATGAAGTCCATACAAACTGGAGCAGGGATGGGCCTAGCCTGTATTTATATTCCTAACAGAGTATCATGTACCCATTAATCAAGTCTTCAACCAAAAATATTACAAAACCAATACAGTTCTACAAGTCAGTGGTGGGGCACTGCTATTCCTCTGTCTCATAGTCCAGGGATCATAGTTTGGGAAGTGCACTACTAGGCCATAGTTTACATGCCATTAGACTCTACCTCTTGCCCTGATGTCCACGTAATAAATACAAATATGAATGTATACACACACATACACCTAAGAGCCTACATACGCAAATGTATGCTACCACATCAACGTGATGTTTTAGCAAAACCATATTGTTAACCCTTAAAAAAACCCCAGAGCTCTTCCACCTAATAATGGGGAACCCCTTCACATACATTCAGCATAAAAACAAACACTAGAATTTTTAAAGAATTAATGCAAAAAGCTGGTAAATGCTTCCCCGTTCAATCAGTAACATAGGCATAGTAAGCCTCAATGGCTGGCCTATGTGATTTATTGTATCTTGGGGCACTTAATGTGCTGGGGCCTGTCACAGTATTGGCTGTTTTCAGAGCAGTCAGATGACCAAAGACCACAATGCAGGGCCAGAGGTTATAGGATTATGAACATCAGGCAACAAAAGACAATACTGACAAATGAGCTAGTGAATCTTGAGCTTACATCAAAATGGATAGACTTTGGATACTCATGGACAACTGCTTCCTTACTCTTTACTCAACTCACTCTAACCAAACTGAAAGATTTTGCTTCCCTCTACATCCATGTCTCATGGATATAGGTGGCACACAATACTGCACTGTATCCATGCACTGGATACAAATCAAGAATAACATTTATTTTTATGACAAAAGTGAAAGTAGTGCTTTGCCATTTAATTGTACTTCAGTGCCTATCTCCTTTTTACCTGTGTGCTACACTTCACCTCTCTCCCCTCATTTCCCACATCACTAGCAGGAAGGTAAAACATTGTTTTGCCTTCCTGATACTTATATGCAAACAAGGACATATCAATATTACAAGGTCAAATACACCTTCAGGCAATTAATAAAGACAATTTTCTGGACATAATGTGGATGTACCTTTGCTGGAGAAAGCAAGTCTGGCTAATAATTGTAGCAAGTGTATTCAAATTTGACTCAGAAGAGTTCTTCAAAGTGTTATGAATGTTTATATAAACCTCTACAAGTTTGATAGCTATGGAAGACGTCTTTGAACAGATATGACAGTCTTATTCTATTTCAGTTTTGAAGCACGCTTCAGAATGGTGGTGGTTATGAAATAATCATGAAATAACAGAGAGTCAAGTTCCTGATTGAAATTTCCTTCACATCTTAGATATCCAGACTCTTACATCTTAAGATGTTACCTGTGGCAACATAAAAAACATTTCTCTAGTATAAAATTCTTCATTTAATATAGAACAGAGAAAATAAACCTAAGATTGCAGTACATAAGTTGAACTGTTGCCAATATAGTGCTATATATCTTTAAAAACTTGGGATTATATTTGAAGTATGAAAAAGGCATAACCACAATGCATGGCCCATCTTTCATTTATTGCATGAAAATATATGTTGTCATCACAGTTTTATTTTTTCTGTTTTAGCTTGCAGTGTCCTTTAATCAAAGGTGAAGAATCGCCAACAAATTCTCCACTAGCTTTAGAGACTTTGTTTGGCTTGAATACAGAGCAAGTTAGGTTTGTTCTTGTCTTACGTTGGGCATTTTAGCATGATGGTATTGTTGCATTATTTTCCATTTCTTCTTCTCAATGTTAATCTTACCAACCTCTCATTTTTAGTATTTAAAAAAAGTGCATTGAAATTTGCTTGTTTGTGCATGAGAAAATATGAACAAAGAGACTATAAATCATCTTTTGTTTCACTGATACGGAATGTGACTCATTTGTGGGTAACAATGTCAAACGTGTAAAACTGCTTAGTTTGAGTTATTTATCTGTGAAAGTCTTTGAGATATGGTGGATCTATAAACACCCTAGGTATGGAAAAGTTTTATGCATATGACATTAAATTATTTAGATAAGAATTTTATCAAAGGCAGGCCATTCCGTTTTCTCAGCTGTAAAGAATTCCCATTGAAAGATTACTGATCAGGAAAGAAAAGGGTTGAAAAGTGCTGTGTAAGGACAAAGAAACATCGATTACTTGCTTTTTGCTAAGTAACTTTTTACTAATTCAAATAATCTCATGCATATGTCCCATATAAAAAGTGACTGTTAAACTGTACATAGGTTGCTGATCCGCTGGATTCGTGGTTGGTAAGTCTCTGAACACTTAAATTGTATAGTGTCTTGCCTCTCAAAAGTAACCACTATTTTAGCACTAGCATAGCTAGTATATAACTGAAGTCAGTTTTGGAACTGCAACAGGAGATTTCTACTGTTTACTTTCATTGTATATGTTATGTTGACACAAATGATTTCTAAAAATAAGTATCAGATCAATCTATTTTTAAAAAGACTCATTCACAATCAATTCTTTCTAACTCAACATAAATATTTACTATTATATATAGTACAGTATAATGCTGGCCTACATTTATAATGTATTGCAAAACTTGTGGGATTGCCAGATCCAACTGTTATAAACTGTTACATAAATTCTTCTAAGAATCCAAGTACAAATACAACTGTAAATGCTCATTAATATTTTAAAATATTTGTAGCAAATACATAACTGGCCAAATACGCAACTGATTTTCTTAAATTGATATCACAACTATTATACTTTTACTAAAAGAAAGCTTTAATGGAATAAATGACTAAACAAGTTACAAGCTACTTTGAAAACTGGTATATACTGCATTTACCATGAGTGATGAAATGTACTTTGCACTATTACAAAATAAGCTGGATAAGAATCTGTTTATGAGTCTTTTCCTGAAGCACTTAACCACTGCTAACCAAGTACAAATGCTGTTGTGCCCATGTCCCAGGGTTGAAGGATTCTACAAACCTATTTTCAAAACAATGATGACATATATACGGTGTACACTACCTTTGCAAGTGCATAACTGGGACTTCCCCTGCCACTCAAAAAAAAAAAAAAAAAAAACAAACCATCACTGAATCTCAGCCAGGAAAGCAAGGCATTTTCCCTGAGTTCCTTTTAGGAATTCTTTCCATAAGCTGCTACTTCTTAGTATAGTCCATAAAGTATATTTATTACTCTGACAGGTGCATGGGCTTTGACCAAGGTCCATTTACTCTGCCTCTTATGTAATCATAAAGAAGCTATCAGGCCAAATGATTTGGAGTTAAAAACATCTTCCACTCTCAACTTAAATACAGACAGACTTTATAAATCCTATGCCAGAAAAAGCTAGCTGTCCTTACATAAGATTTTTTTTTTTTTTTAAAATGAATGGAAATATGTGTCAATTGATCAATAAGAGAAAAAAGTTGACTGAAATACTTTGACATTCAAGAGCTCTATGGAATGAATAGAAATGATGTTCCTACTAGATAAACCAAAGAGGATTTTGTTTTTTTGAGGATGATATTTTCATTGTTTCACTGATTAGTGAAAACTTCACAATGACAAGACAGACTAACAGTAGTCAGACAATGGAATAATGGCAATGAGCTCCAACCGTGTGTACATGGAAGGAAAATGCAAGAAAGTCTCCATTCCTGATGCAAATGGAAATTTAAGAGATTAAGGACAGATGAGTTGCTATTGAAGTGCCTGCAGGAAATTACTGTCAATCAAAATGGTGTGATCTAGCTGTCAAGTGAGGAGTCTGCATTAGATGGACTAGATGACCTGCACTAGTGGTCCTATTGACCAATTCATTTATGATACAAGTTATTTTAATAGTAGACCTATTTTCACTTTCCCCACACCTTATCCTTTGTAAATGACCAACTTCAGATATAAACAAGTGCAAACATTCTTATGGATTGTATTTTCCCTGGATGTCTGTTTAAATGTCTTTGCCAATAAGACCCATACTGCCAAATGTAAACTCCTCCAGGCACAACATAATGGAAGAGAGCTCATCCAATACTAATCTTAACTAGTAGTAGAGTGAAACTTCTGAATTTAAATCCTATTTCCCATAATATATTCAGCCCATAAAAGCAAGGAATAGAAGAGGCCAAACACATTCTTTCTACTTCTTTCTCAGGACAACATTACCAGTTAGATTCAAGCTTAGTGATTTTGTTTATTGAAAATACTGAAACAACTGAATTTGATGTCAGGCTGCTACCACCATATGAAAGAGGCTTTTTTAAATTATTTTTTTGTTTTTACTTTTATAAAGAGTCTCAAAGGGGAGAAGTGTGTTAATTTTTTCTGCTCCTACTGAAAGTGAATGAAACTGTCTTTTAAGTTACATTTTACTGTTTATACACAAGCATTAAACTGCAAGCATATAGCATTAACAGAATACCTGAAGCTAAGTTTCAGAACATTAAAACATTTCATCATAACAAGACCAGTGCACTGGCTAATCATGCTCAATAGAATACCAATATATTTTCACGCTGTCATATAATATGGGTTGAGAGGAAAAGTTAATACCTTTGTGTGCATGCAAACTGCACAATAAAGTTCATTTGTGAACATAAAATAGGATCTGTTATTGATACTGAAATGCTTTCAAGGAACTGAACTCTGATCACAATTTGAATTTGACAGGCAGCATTTATGATCCATCTTTAAGTTAATGTAATAAGAAATAATGTAAATTCCAACCAACGTATTCATTTCTGATTTTCTGCTTTTTGGCTTGTGATGAACTTAAAATTCTATAAATACACATGAAGAAATATATCATAGTAACAAATTGTTTGAAAAAATGAGTGAGAAATATGAAGACATAACTCCTGATTCTGTTTTCTTGTGCATTTTAAGACAGGTTTCAGGATTAATAAACTTCACCAATTTCTCACTGCATGAAGTGAAACCCATTAGCCACTGGTAACTCACCCTTTTCTGCTCTTTAATATATTCCATCAGTTCCGCTCTTGTCCTTTTCACTGCTTCTTCGATTGCCTTTTCACTTCGTTTTTGCTCCTCCATTAATGCTTCCTTGACAATTTCCTTTTTAAAAGGAAAACATGTAAGTGTAAATATTAAAACTATTTCACAAATGTAATACAGGTCATCCCTTTCCTTCCTACTAAAATTTTATCATGACCACACTCCTTTCCTTCCTACTAAAATTTTATCATGACCACACTCCTTTGTCAATGATAGTTATCCTAAATGTATGCAGTATCTTTAAAAAAAATTATAAATTCTGTACTTTGATCACTAAAGGGCCTAAAGAAGAAAGAAATAATCACTTTAAAGCTTTCTGAATAGATACATAATGTTCCCTGAGAGCAGAAGAAAAGGAAGCAATACAGAAGCAGAGATGTACTAGTTGCTATTAATAAAATAAAACAGAATAGAATAGTTCCAGTTGGAAGGAACCTACAATGATCATCTAGTCCAACTGCCTGAGCACTTCAGGGTTGACCAAAAGTTAAAGCAAATTCTTACGGGCATTGTCGAAATGCCTCTTAAACACTGATAGGCTTGGGGCTTCGACCACCTCTCTGGGAAGCCTGTTCCAGTGTCTGACCACCCTCTCAGTAAAGAAATGTTTCCTAATGTCAAGTCTGAACCTCCTCTGATGCAGCTTTGAGCCATTCCCATGCGTCCTGGCACTGGATCCCAGGGAGAAGAGATCAGCACCTCCCTCTCCACTTCCCCTCCTCAGGAAGCTGTAGAGAGCAATGAGGTCACCCCTCAGCCTCCTTTTCTCTATATTGCATGGCTCTTCAAAACTTACATAAGGGCTGTTCTAACCACGATAACCAGAGTCCTAATGACAATAAATTTGTTTCCAAACCTTGGGAAATGCCAGGGTCATTCTGTACACAGCAGTAAAAAGCAACAATGGACACCCACTCACCCCCCAAATTAGCACTACCCTACACCAAATCTGGTTCAGTACTAGAAATGCATCACAGCAGAGAAATCCAGGAACCACTTCTTAAAACACCTCTATCACCTCCAGGACAACTTATGTGTTTAAGTTGTCAGCTCAGGAAACAACTTCTGGACCAAAGCCACTGTCCTAAAACTTAAGTCCCAGCGTCCCAAAGCCACTCATGAAATAACATTATTTAGCCAAGTGTTTTGTTTCCAAAATTCAGGAAAATGAAGCGATAAACATAAGATTCCTGAAAATGAACAAAAAAATGTAACATTTTCAGAAAACTACAAAACATCCAGTAAAAATAACCACACAATGTTAAAGGATTTGGAGGGGAGACTGAGAGGGATACCAAGAGTGTCTCAGAAATCAGGTAGTGGCCTTCGCAACTCCTATGCTTTTGTGCTAGATATTCAAAAGTGGAAGTATCAGAAACACTAGTGGTGTGCCTGCAGAATGAAGCAGGGATTTGTGACACACACTTCTATTAACAGTATCACCAGGCTTTCTTAGTGCATTCACATTTAGCATAAACAGAAAGCTGCAATCAGAATTTCATAGGATGAAATTTATTATTCTTTTCAAAGAATAAAAATACAGCATATTTGTGTTCTTTATAGCTATTTAGAAACATTATTTCTTCAGAAAAAAAGCCAGTTTGGTTTTTGGTTTGTTTTTTTTTTTTGGCAAGAAGCTCCACAGACCTTCAAAAATACATGCGTGAAAATTGGAGAAAAAAACCTGATAACTGTTGCAATACTCAGAGGAATTGTAAATGATGTTGTTACATTATTTTTTTCTATGGGCCAAACTTCACCTCCCCTGTTACTGTACCACAGCCATGCACCACAGAGAGAGCTGAACTGAGGATCCAGTGCATAAAAAAATAAATAGGTGAGCAAAACAGATAGCCATTGAGGCCATGTTGCAGTTGCTCTGAGGGAGGGTTTGGAGGGCAGCACATGGAGAAAAAGAATCTCAGTTTCCCCTCTAAGAGCAGACTTTCACAGAACTCAAAGAAATGCAGCCATGGAAAAAATGGAAATTAAAAAAAATAGAAATAATGGAAAAAACAATGGTTCACAAAAGGAACACACAGGACTTCTAGTGTATTTGAGCTGTGGCCTGACCAGTGCCGAGTAGAGGGGGATGATCACTTCCCTAGTCCTGCTGGCCACACTATTTCTGATACAAGCCAGAATCCTATTGGCCTTCTTGGCCACCTGGGCACACTGCTGTTATTAACTAAATATTAAAGTATTATTGCCATTATTGATGTTATTAACTAAATATTAAATCAGAATAATGCCTACTAAGCAACACAGTTTGTACACAGAAAGTAAAACTAAAAACCGTTTTTCACCACTTCAGTAAGAAAAAAGATAAAAATCAAGGATAGCTTAATGTATTTTTTTTTTTATTTAATTATTCACAAGCTTTCAGGCTCTGGTCAAAATCACTGAGTCTACCTTGTACATACACTGTGAGGCTTAGAAGAAATCAATTACTTTGCTGCAGTACTTAAAGCATTTGATTTAAAGTATTCAGTTAAAGCACCACACTTATCTATATGGGAATAATGACTAACATAAGGAGAAATACATAACTTTACAAATGTTTGTGAGATAGAATGACAACCATTTTATTGCTTTGTTTACTGGTTTAAGAAACATTTGTCAGTCTACAGTGACAACTGCTTTAAATACAGAATCTCAGAATGCTAACATGCATTCTTGGTGCTTTACAATTCTGTCTTCTTTGCAGAAAGTATTGTTGCAGGAACTCAATGGTTTTGAATGGATTCACTCTGGAAAACAGGTGGAATTCTATGCTTTTGGAAGCAGAAGATATTTATGAAGTTACATAATTCATCTGTATGTATAAGAGTGGCCTTTTACCATATGCTATTAGTGTACGAAATGAAGAATACCACCACTGTATTGAACCAAATCCCATTTTTTTCAAGACTCTTCAGTGGAAGTGTTTCAACTGAAAAATACAGTGTTACTTCTTAACTTTAGCTATTTACTCCTTTTCAGTCAAAACTGAATAGTTTCTGCAAAACTATACTTTTGCTATCTTTATAACAGAAGAAGTCTAAAATCCAAAATTTGAAATGCACAACTAGGTAGTCTCCACTGTTCTGGAATATAGCAAATATGAAAACCATAGCCGTGAAAAGTGATTATAATTTTTTTCTATTTTAATTCAGTTTACCAAAGAAAAATCCTGAGACAAAGGTCTCTCTCACTACAGAACTCTGGCAAGACTAACAGAAAAAGTACCAGAAATTTACATATTATAGAAATATGCTGCTCTTGTACATATATTCTCATGCCAGCTTAATTTGTCAAAAGGTCCCAAAATACTATCTTGTATTAGAATGGAAAAAAATCCCATCATTTATCCCATTAAACTCTTAAAATCAAAGTACAAAACTGACAAGGTGCTATATCTTACTATGTAGAAAATTTTACATCAATAAAATACTTACAATCAATTAAAGGACATTAACTTTCCTTGATGTCATGCTACTTGAAACACTATCTGAACAAAGGTCCAAATAAAAATACAACTACATTCTACAAGTCTATTAAAAAATGCAAGAAAACAGAAACCACTAGCAATACTTTTATGGAAGTATATTTTATTACACCAAGATTAAACCAGAAAAAATAAAAGTGGAAAGAATTCTTTTCCATTTACAATGGCAAGTTCCCAAAATTAAGACCAGTATTAATTCTCTGAAGAATATACAGTTACGGGTAACAGTGAAAGCAAAGTTGTATAACATCCTGTTGAGGCAATAAGCAAAACACACCATAACTATGCTAGTTTTCACTCTCTGTTATCAATACTTATTTCAAGAGCAACAAGTTGATAAAAAAGTGTTATTTTCTAGCATAGTAGACCCTTATTTGTTTTATCATAAGGAACAAAAGATTACTGATTACTTCTATACCATTAAATAAAGAAGTTGCCTTAACTTTTTACTTTCTTTTTTTTCCCTTTGTCGCATTCATAATACTTATAAAGAGTTTTATAGTAAGGAGACCCAAGGGTGCTCTTAGCTTCCACAGAAATTCAAAAAAAAAGGAAGATTTAAGAATTCAGCCAAGTCCCTCATTGTTTTTCAGTGCCTCACTCTACACCATAAATGTTAGTTTTTCTATATATTCCCAGCATCCAGCAGTTCAGAAAAATTTGAATAATCCTGAACCAATGGATATTCCAAAATCCCAGTATTTGAAAAAGCAAATACCTCTTCCAAAAGGTACCGGGAATATCTAGTATGTTGAACAGCTATTCCCAGTTCTTTAACCCCTGTGTTTAATTTTGCCTTACATAGATTTTCTAATTACACAGTGGATGACTAAAAATTTGAGTGAGAACAATTGCCATACCACATACTAAGTTTAATTTTAAGAGAAAATAGTAAATAGAGCTTTACTTTAGTAAAGCCTTTGACAATGTTACCCACAGCATTCTCCTGCAGAAACTGGCTGCTTATGGCTTGGATGGGCGTACTCTTTGCTGGGTAAAAAAATTGGCTGGATGGTTGGGCCCAAAGAGCTGTGGTGAATGGAGTTAAATCCAGTTGGCGGCTGGTCACAAGTGGTGTTCTCCAGGGCTCAGTATTGGGGCTGGTCCTGTTTAATATCTTTATCAGTGATCTGGATGAGGGGATTGAGTGCACCCTCAGTAAGTTTGCAGATGACACTAAGTTGGCCGGGAGTCTTGATCTGCTGGAGGGCAGAAAAGCCCTACACAGGGACCTGGACAGGCTGGATCAATGGGGTGAGGCCAGCTGTATGAGGTTCAACAAGGCTATGTGCTGGGTCCTGCACTTGGGTCACAACAACCCCATGCAACGCTACAGGCTTGGGGAGGAGTGGCTGGAGAGCTGCCTGGTGGAAAAGGACCTAGGGGTGTTGGTCGACAGTCGGCTGAATATGAGCCAGCAGTGTGCTCAGGTGGCCAAGAAGGCCAATGGCATCCTGGCTTGTATCAGAAATAGTGTGGCCAGCAGAACCAGGGAGGTGATCGTGCCCCTGTACTCGGCACTGGTGAGGCCACACCTCGAGTACTGTGTTCAGTTTTGGGCCCCTTACTACTA